TGCGAGAGAAGGAGAAAACGCCCGGAGCCGGGCACACGAGCAACTCGGTGTTCGTGCTCCGCACTAAAACCACTCGCGGTGCTCCCAGGTGCTGAGAGCTTAGAAACAAAAGGGGCCCCAGGAGTGGTTCTCTGCTGCTTCACAGCGCAGGCTACACGGAGAAAGGGCTTGTAAGTCACGCCAACACACGGGCTTCCCAAAGCCTGGGGAAGGAGCCACACCACGACATTCTGTTCCTGTGCCCAGGGCGCTCTCCTGTGCAAAAATATTGACATAAATGTCGTATATAAACATTTAGCTAGTTAACTGCTGTATTGCTTCTTACGTTGTTGTAAGTGAAACGTAACTGAGAACTACCTCTAGAACCCCAGACTTCCCAGAAGCAGGAAGACAAAGAAAAGTTTGTCTTAACTATCCCCTGTCGGTTCATTCACCTCTTCACTGTTTCATACCTTGCAGTGAAACGTATCCAGTATTTTAAACTCCCAATTTGAACAGGAACCCCTCTGTATATTCTGTTGCTACTTCTAAGCAAAGACTCTTGCAGTTCAGAGTTCGCTTTGACCTGTATTATTTTACCACTAAAATATAAATAAAACAACGCTTCCTTAAATTTTACATTTATTTCCAAGGCACAGTATTTCCTCATGGCAAAAGTTAGGCTACTTTTCTGCTGGGTACCTAAAGGTAAAAATGTAAATCTTGAAAGCATATTTTATTTTTTCCTCTCTTTTGCTTAAGGATTTAGTAACAGATAGTTAAAACTTATAACAAGGGCAAAAAACCAGCATAACACTGAGACAGTATTTGTCCATAAGACATTCTGTAGCCATTACAACCTGATGGTGTTTTCATTAGGGATTTTTTGGCTGCTTTTGCTGGAGCGAGAGCAGTCAGAGCAGAAATCATAAAATCTGGTAATGCTAACTTAAAAGAAGTCTGCTTCTAGTTCCTCCGGGTTTTGATCTAGCAAATGAAATCTTCTGGAAGCAAATTTAGGTCTGGATCATATGCATCTGTCATATATTGGGTTATAAGCACACAGTATCTTCTGTAGGAGTCTTATCCAGTCTTTACCTAGACAGACCCCAGCTGCGTGGGGGAACAAAGTCATTGGCCTGTTCACTGAAGTCTTGCTTACCTTGAGCTGTCTTCCATGTTTGACCCAGGATTGCAAAGATACAGCTTCCAGATATAAAACTAACTTGTGGAATGTCATTTCCTGAGTATAGGAGGCATTTGGAGATTATCTTTACATTCTAATACCTTCATTCTGACTTGTTCATGGAATTTTTACTTGAGAAAAGGGAAAGTCCAGTAATAGTCATGCCTGAAATGCAATCTGACTAGGGAGAAGAGTGAAAAGTTTCTGGGCAGAGGTAGACAATGCATAATATTGGTGTCACTGGGGAGGAATTTCTCACAAGCTCTTAACTTTTTTATTATGTTAACTGACATCCTCTCATCAGTTTATGATGTGTCTAAGTTGGGATGCATTAAACTACTCCATTTCAATTTGGTGAAGGTTTTTTCTGTTTAAGACACTCCCAGCTTCTTCTTTTTTCCATGTCCCTTCCTTTAATCTTCTTCCCCAGCTCCATCTTACCAAATGTAAGGAGTCAACTGAGTAGAAACACTAGAGTTAATTTTTAGGAGTTCCCTGTTGTGAAACACCAAGCCTGAGATATTTTCATGGACAGAAATGCTATTTAAAGTTTAATAGCATGGATCTGCAACTGTTGCACTAGTGACTTTCTGTACTGAAGACTCTTGCTACCGCGACAGGGCTGGTGGGTTTCAATATGAGTTTATATTTTGAAATATAACGGGCTGCTGCCATCAAAGAAACATTGGCTTATCAGATTGGCTGAGTCAACCTAAAAACCAAACCACAGACCTCTTACACAAGAAAGTAAGAGTTTGTGTAGTTCTCTGCTCTAAGTACTGACTTTATTCTGATGTTGTCATATACTTTGGTCTTAGGGTCTGAAAATGCGTGTGAAAAGACTTCATTTATGTTTCTGCGACAAGAGTTGCCTGTGAGATTGGCAAATATAATGAAGGAAATAAGCCTGCTACCAGACAACCTTCTAAGAACACCTTCAGTTCAGCTGGTGCAGAGCTGGTAAGAACAGTGTAATTTCATATCTTTAAGGGTGACAGAAGTCGGAGGAACTCATTCTCTTCTACAGAAAGAACACTTCACGTGTTCGTTACATCAACATCACTTATTTAGGCTTAGTAAATATTCCAATGTGACATAAATCAGAAACTAAATTTACAGACCTGGAAAAAAGTCCTTTAAGAGCAATTAGAGAACCCACAAGGGAACTGAAAATCATTAGGTATTGCAGATAGTCATGTACGAGAATTCAAAAAACCAAAAATCCACCAGAACAGTGCTTAATAGGGGACTTACCTAAAATGAAGAAGCTAGTTGAAGAAACCAACAGAAGAAAGCTAATGCACAAAATGTTTGCTAAAGATAGTAGAAACCATTTAAAAGACAGGTTACTGTGGATTTAAAGTGTAGAAAATACAAAGAAAGCGCAATAGCAAGCTTCCAAAACTAAAATATGTAAAACAACAGAAAGAATATGAGACTATTAAAATAAAAAAGACATCTTTTGAAAAGTAAAATTTGCTTTCAAGTAAAGAACTTACACATAAGCATTAACTTTTGTAAGATGAAGGCAAAACAAGGAGATTGCTTGGCACCTGCTAAAGGCACATGGCTATCTGGAAAGGCTTTTGAAGTTAAGAGAACAGAAAATCTGCCAGTGAATAAATGGGATTGATTAGATGACTGGATATAAAAAGACCTGTCAATGAAGATGAAGGCTCTTAATGAAACATGAATGCTCAAATTCTCATGAAACTAAACGATATTGATCAAATGGGAAATGAATTGCACTTGGACAAATGCAAAGTAGAGCACAGAGAGGACCCTCCTCTCCATCTGTGCCTGCTTGCTTAGAATGGAAAGAGAAATTCTCATGCTGCTGGGGATGTTTTTCTGAATGTGTCAGTTGATGGGCAAGAAGGCAAATAGTGTTAGGAACTAAGTAATAAATGGGGAGGAATATAATTGTACCACTGTGTTAGCTCATTATTCCTCTGAATTGCATGCAGTTTTAGTCACTTCATCCTGAACAGAAAAGACTGAGAGGGATAATCAGAGGGCTGAAACAATTTCTTCGTGAGGAGAAACCAAATAGAATTCTTCAGCTTGGAAAATACACATCTAAAGAAAGAGATGGCAGAAGTACGTAAATTGTGAACAAGCTGGGAAGATTTTCTAATAACAGGAACTCACTGGGGCTGCAAATAAGTGATCACCTACTGGGTTTAAAACACAAGGAAGATCTTTTATGCATTCTAATTAAATTGTGGAATTCATTGCTCTGGAAACTCTGGAAGAAAATATGAACAGATTCAAAGGGATCTAAGAAAATTCAGAGGATCAGTGGGATACATCAAATACAATGGAAACAAGGAACCTTGAAAGACATAAATTGCTAACCAAAGGGATCTGGGGAGGCACATTAGAATTGGTCTTTGCAATGTTTCTTTCATTTAAAGGTATGTCCAAAGTCTTCAGGAGATCCTTGACTTTAAGGACAAAAGCTCAGAAGATTCAGGGGCTATTCACAGGTAAGGATTTGCTGTCACATCCATTAACATTATGTAGGAGGACTGGCAAGAAGATGATAGCTTAAGACAAAATTCAGCTATCTCAAATCTTTACTTAAGAATTGCAGTAACGTCACCCCCTGTCTGTATAAAGAGGGTACATTAAAACATGAAACAAAGAACTTCTATGCCATATCATGCTGGTTAGGACTTTTTTTTATTACACTGAAGAAGTTATGAACTTATGAAACTTGACAAAATGTTTACCAATTCCTTACTGGTAATGTTGGAACTGAACTGATGCATGGAACTTTTCACTTGTAGAGTAGTTTTGGTCGCCATTGGCTGACCATAACTGCCCTGTGTGAAAGTTGTTGGCAGTCGTCTTCTTCACAATACTCAAGATAATAAATAAATAAAAAATTTATAAGTAAGCAATAATGGTTGATTGTTGCTTGTTTCAATGCTGGTCACTTGAAATACACAGTAAAGACTGGCCTGTCTTCTTAGTGCCAAAGGCAGATCTGTGATACTTGTGTACGTAGCAGTCGTCTTCTTTTGTAGGCTGTTTGCCACAGTATTGAATTCACTAAAAAGTGCAACACTAACAATGCATTAATTTTAGTTTTACAGATACTGTGATAAAAATCCGGAATCGACACAACGATGTAATCCCTACTATGGCTCAAGGAGTAATAGAGTACAAGGAAAGCTTTGGCATTGATCCAGTGACCTCACAGAATGTGCAGTATTTTTTAGACCGTTTCTACATGAGTCGCATTTCAATTAGAATGCTCCTTAATCAACACTGTAAGTGCCATTGTTGAAACAATGGGAAATGAGGCCTATATCGGTGTATTTCTCTTATGTGCTTAATATGCACTTAAATACTTCTTAGGAGTCCACTATTTGCCTTTCTGTTTATAAACTCATTCTTAAGACAATTCTTAAAATATTTATTAATAGTATACTTTCAAGTATGGTGAAGATTGGAACTGTATATTGCCTATAAATTTATATTTAGCAAAGCTTAAGACACAAACTAAAACTAAAATTACAATTGAATATTAAAATAAATTTTTTTTTTTGCAGCTTTACTTTTCGGTGGGAAAATTAATCCAGCTCATCCAAAACACATTGGAAGCATTGACCCTAACTGCAATGTTGTTGAAGTTATTAGAGGTAAATTCAGCAGATCATCAGAACAAGAATCCTGAAAACTTACATAAATGACTGTATGAGAGCCAGTACACATCTTGATATTCATGTACTGTTTAGTTCTTTCCTACCTGGAGCAGAAGTTTAAATTAAAATATAATACAGTTTTGTCACTCTTCCCTATAAACCTTGTTTTTGTGAGAAAATACGAAATCTTGCTGACAGTGCACAGCATTCTACATTTTTGTTTTTCTTTTTAGCAAACTGTAAAGGAAAAAAAAAGTGAAGGGAGAAATGTAACTTTTATGTGTTTTTATTATAGATGGCTATGAAAGCGCTAAGAGACTTTGTGATTTATATTACATGAGCTCTCCAGAATTCATCCTTGAAGAGCGGAATGGTGAGTGGATATGGGATGAGGGATTCTCATGAACATAGTAATGGCTTCTTCTACAGTAGCCGGTGTTGAACTTTTCATATAGTTAATGTATGCTCTATATCTACTGTCATAAATAGCTTGGGGTTTGTGGGGGTTTTGGGTCGTTTTTGTTTTTTTTTAACCTGGCAGAAAGCTTTCCCTATTCCTCCCTTTCACTGGGAAACTGAATTCAGTAGAATAGGTTTTGATTGTACAGATATAACAGATTTTAGCAGCCTCCTTCCCTCCCTAGGGTTTCTTACATGTCTTCACTCTACACTCCCTTGCATCTCACCCTCTCTGCACTTCTTGTGACATTTTTAAGATTTATAATAAACATTCCATTCTAATTTCTCCTGCTTCTTCAGCTAGCATGTTATTTTAGTTCTAATTAGATACTGTACACCGAAGTTGTGGTAAAAATTATCTGAACCTATTGGTCGTGACTTGAAAAAACAGTTTACAGCCGTGTTGCTGTTGTCCTTACAGTCCTTCTGAATGCCAAAGAGCCTGTCTGACCCTACTTACTGGAATACTTTTCAAGTTACTGAATGCCAAGTTCGGACAGAGCTACAGAACAAGCAAACAAAATTGTTTCTACAAGTAATTGCAAAAGCCAAAGTGCAACCACAGTAACTTGGCCCATGAAGCTAAAGGAAAAGGAAGTGTGGCCGTGGCTACTCATTCCAGATCTTTTTTTTCCTACTGTACAAAAGCTATCATTTTGTATCTAGGTTAAGGGTTTTCCTCTCTTGGTTTTTGGAGTATGATGCTAAAACCATTTGTAGGAAACGATCAGTCACGCTAGCTCATTCCTTGCACAGAGGGGTCATTTAATGCTATATGTGCTCCAGAACCCAGAGCAAGTAATTCAGTTTTTATAAAATGAGTGACCTGCTCAATGGATTGTGAAGGTGAGTTAAACCCCATCCAGGGCAAATGCACATTCCTTGCCCACAGCCAAGAGTGGAGACCAATATTTAAACCTTAGATATGGGATCAGGGGGTGGAGGCACGGGGGGAAGCAGTTAACTTAAGGACAGGAACCTGATGTATTTTGAAGTGTAATTTCCCCTCACCTTCCAGGGACATAATTTGTTCTAGATCTTTTAACACTGATAGTCTTCAGCATTTATGTTTAGACAGCACTGGTCACTAACAAAGGCTGTTGAGAAATTATGAATTTGTTGAACTGAAAGAACCTTAAGAGCCAGCAGAATTTTCTCAATACCCTTTCCTTGATCTTTGATATAATGGACGTGTTTCCATGATGTATTTTCTAGAATTTAATCTTTAAAAGAAGTTTCAAAACTGTACCAGTTTTACAGATGGAATTGTCTATATAATTTGTTAAGGTTTCTTGTTAGAAATTGGCTAGTATCTGAATGAATCCAAGTATCTGAATGAATCCAAGAATAGGCTACACTGTAGTTACTCTTTGGTGCATTATAGGATTGTAAGTTAATTTGCGTTGGGAGGGACATCAGGAGGTTTCTAGCCTGACCTCCTGCTTGAAGCCGGGACAGCTACAAGGTCAGACCAGGTTCCTTTTTGGTCTTGCAAGTCCTCCAAGGGTGGTGACTGTGTAACACCTCTAGGCAACCCATTCCAGTGCTAAACCGTTGTGGTGAAAAGTTTTTCTCTGTATCCAGTCTGAAGCTCTCTTATTTCATCTTAAACTGCTTCCCGTTCTCCCACCACCTGAAGAATCTGACTCTATCTTCATGATAACCTCGGCACAGGTACTAGAAAGCAACTATTATATGCCCTAATCAGTGATGCCACAGTGGGTTTTAAGATTAATTTCTAAAGCAACAAGCACATGGGCAAATCTTCAGTATAACTTTTGATTCACATACAACTTTTCAAGAGTTTTCTGTTCAAGTTTTCCTTCCCTTGTAAATTCTCTCACCAATACAAATACACACTTTGAATTACTGTGGGAACGAATAAAAGGATACTATGTTTGCTATTTAATTATTTAGACTCTTTTCTTCTCCAGCTAAATCGCCAGGACAGCCCATGCAAGTGGTCTATGTGCCCTCACATCTCTATCACATGGTTTTTGAACTTTTCAAGGTCTGTGCACTTACCATTACACAATTCTTTTATACGTTTTTGTTTAGTGAGACTCTTATTTGTTTGACTTTTTGAACCAATTCTAGATAGCAGCATGTTTTGGAAGTGCAAACCTCTCCCTGTTTTACTGCAGGAAGATATCTAAATTGTACTATTTTAGACAAACAGTAACAGCTTTGGAAGATGTCTCTCCTTTGCCTAGTCACTGAATACATCTGACATCTTCTGACTAGATAGCTTTGTCAAAAAATCTTGAAATGTAAAATAAAATAAAATAAAATAAAGCAAGTGAGAATAAAAGACAATTTTTGGGACATCTTCAGATGCATAACAGGTCCTATACAGCTTTTCTTAAGCAGTTAAGTCCTAGACTTTGTGTCACACTGCATGCACTATGCATTGTAAACAATTCTACATATAAAACTGTACATTAAAATATTCAGAGGTGTCTTCTAAAAAAAGTCCGTGTGTTCTAATAAACTATATAAATACTGAAACTGAATAAACTAGAAGTAATAAAACCCCCCCAATTCTAATACCATATATAATTGTCCTGATTCTGAAATATGTTATAAAAATAATTTTCCTGAATTGATGTCTTAAGATAATATACAAGGTTGTAAGAACGGTATTTTAGTTGTACTTGAAAATTGCAGAATGCAATGAGAGCCACCATGGAACATAGTGCTGACCGGTGCATTTATCCTCCAATTCATGTACACGTCACATTGGGAAATGAGGATTTAACTGTGAAGGTACTCACTTTTTATTATTTTGAAGGTTATATGGATTCATAGGCAGTGTATTACTAACTTTAGTTGCTGATCTGGTCCCAACACTAGACTGTATGTGATAACGTACTATGTATGTAACAAGACCATTACGGAATTTCACATACTGCATCAGCAGTAAATTCATAAAGAGGTTGAGGAGTCATGTTCATGTCTTGTCTGGCTTATATGCAATCATGACTAAAAATGAAGTAGCATCTTTATACAATTGTATCAGCATTTTGTATGAGACAATGACAGAGCAATTCAGGTGCGAAACAACTGAAAAAGGAGATAAACATTGTATATTCCATGCAAATCAAACCTCCCTGAAATACAGTTTGCAGCGTAAATTCTGCTTTTTCTGTACAACAGCCATGTTGGGTTTCAAAGACCCAACTGCAAGCACTGTTTTTTTCATAGGTCTAACTAAACTGTAGTAAACCAACTCCTCTGACTTACTCCTTCAGTAACAGGTTTTAACAGAGTAACAGATTTTAATAGATTGTATTTAACTGGTAGACTTCCTGAGGAATAAAGATACAAATAGACACACAGAATCGGGCATTTGCTGAAACGTATAGATACTTAATACTTCAGAAAAAATCAGGTTACAAACAAGATAAAAAACAATGCACAATTTTGGTAGAATTTTCTTGCTTCCAAGGTATTATGAATGCTTCTTATGGTAGTATTTTATTTGAATGGTTTGGATATGGGATGAAAGGGAAGTATTCACCTCTCTGCTCATTTCTGTAGCTGAGAGACAAGAATTTAAGAAAACTCCTAATTTAATTAATATGGACCACTATATATATACACACACATATATATGTGTATATGTATATACACACATATGTGTTTTACCTGAAATGCTGCTTGTTTCAGATGAGTGATCGTGGTGGAGGTGTTCCTATGCGGAAAATTGACAGACTATTCAACTACATGTATTCAACAGCACCTCGTCCACGTGTTGAGACATCACGAGCGACACCTCTGGTAAGCAAATCTTTCATATTTTGTCATCTCTGGATATGTTTAATTGTCACAAAAGAAACCATTAAGCCAAAGCTACAAAGTACTGATTTTATGGGCACAAGGAGTATTATCATTTGAACGTTACACCTTAATTCAAGTATTTTTCTGAAAATAACTAGAAAATTGCGTAAAATCCTACAGCACTAAAAACTGTTTAAACTTGTTCAATATTCTGTTTTTCCTCTACCAAATACAAAGATCAGGTACCTCAAGCAGAACACTTAGCTACGCTGCATGTACTGCAGTAAGGACAGGACTCTGAATTCTTCTTGTGGCCACTGAATGAAAGGAAAAATAATTACAGCAATAATTTCAGATCAGGTCCATAGTTCCATTTGCACTGTGCAGTCAGTGGTACCATGCCCCAGCAAGGCTGAAGGTATGCAGATGTGACAGGGCCTATGAAGAACCTACTTTGGCCTTATGTGAACTTAATAGTTGCTTAAGAAATGCGTAGCTCTCAAGAAGCAGCTCAGAACAGCTTGAATTTGTTCTCTCACACTGCGACGTTCAGAATGTGCTTTCAATATGTATATGGTATTCTGCGTCTAGATGAATGTGCAACGCATTAAACACATTAAGCGTTGTGTATGTTCATTGAAAGATTACCTCTAACATTTAGTAGATAAAAAAATAAATGATACTTAACACTTCAGGGCTGTGTCCTGCTGCTGCAGATAGGGCTCCAACAGAATTCTAGTATAAGCTACAAATTCATTGGCATTGGTTCTTGGACATTTTTAATATATACTGATGATGAAACATAGCTGACTTAAGTACTCAGAGTTCCTAAGATTAGTGGTTTCATGAGGCATAACAGACTCGGTACAGTTTTCTCTAATTATGTCACATCTTCTTGAGAAAGCTACTGTAATACAAGAAGTGTTACCTAGCAGCCCTGTCTGACAGAGGAATAGCAGTTTTCTCATAACCACAATCATCCACGCATTCTTCCGTTTCTGGGCTGTGTAATAGTTCTGGGGAGCACAACAGGTAACATCTAGACGTCTTCTTTTACTGTCAAGCATTATGCTTAGTTTGTCTGTTCACCTATTAAGTTAAAACAGAAAACACCCCTGATGGTTGCAATTAATGAAAATACACCTTTTTTCCTGGATCAGGCTGGATTTGGTTATGGCTTACCCATATCGCGTCTGTACGCACAGTACTTCCAAGGAGACCTGAAACTGTATTCCTTGGAAGGCTATGGGACGGATGCAGTTATTTACATAAAGGTACGATGTAACACTTTACCATTTAAAATTTATCACCAACTCTTAACTGCTAACAGCGCTCCTTGCTCTGTTACTATAACTTCCGTTAAAAAGAATTGTCAGCTACAGTCTTTTGTACTTACAGGCCTTATCGACAGAATCAATCGAAAGACTCCCTGTATATAACAAAGCAGCCTGGAAACATTATAAAGCAAACCACGAAGCAGACGACTGGTGCGTGCCAAGCAGTGAGCCAAAGGACATGACCACTTTTCGCAGTATATAGCTTTTTCCTCAACAGTTCGTAAGAAGTAGGTATGTCTGTAAAGGGAATTTAAAAGACTGGATTTACACCAAGATGCTGAGCCACAGCTGATATGTGAAAGTAACTGTAAGTGGAGAAAAAGAAGGTTTCATGTAATTACTTTTTTTTTTTCCCCCGGAATTAAAAAAAAAAACCCAACAGCAAACCCAGGAAAACCTTGAAACCTGTATGTACCTTAAAATTTTAAGTGAGAAGGTCATACTTAATTTGTTCCATTTTCTATTTATAACTACTTTCAGTACTTAAGTCAAGGAAGCAGTAGTTTGGGGTTTTATAGGGGCCAATGCAATCTACATCACATGTGGTGAGAAATGTATTAATTCATGTAATTAAAATTTGTTTTTAAAATAGAAGAACTATTGAAAAAGCTCACTAGAGCACTTTTTTCCATTGTACAATATTGCAGATTAGTGAAAAACATGTAAGAAAGATTGAGGAGCTCACTGCTATACCTTTGCACCTGTGTGGCACTTTGTATTCTTTTATCTTAAGCATGCTGAGGCCTAATTTTGCAAAGTTATAGATGTGTTGCCTACACACCTTGCCTACTTCAAGTTTTTTTGCAGCCATAGAAATCACACTTAGGTCTGTAGGGATTTAAAAAAAAACAAAACAGTTCTAGCTGCTACCACTGGTATAATATATCTCAGGTATGTGGCATCAGTCATATTTCTTTGGTTGTAATGTGAATATTTAATACATGTGAAAAGCTTATCATGCAGAGATCATTGTGAATTAGCAAATAGTGTGTTGGCTTGCTTACAGTAAAGCTATGATGTCTTGCACTTGCTTATTTCTTTAGGTAATACCAAAACACAGTCTCGATGTTCTAGCCCTAGTAAGATCTCAGACTTGGATATATCAGGTTACAGCTGTAAATGCAAACTATTTTAATAAACAGATTTTTTTTAAATTTGCCCTTAATAGGGCATCTCTGTTACTTTGACAATAGAGACTACCTTCTCAGGAGTATTTAAGGAAAAGTGGAATTAACAATTTTAGAAAATACCTTTGTATTTGTGATGTGCTTCTAGCCTCGTTTATATAGTAAGTTAAGTTGAAGTCACACCGTAACATAAGTAAGGTAAGCAGAATGTGTTTATCAGTCAAAGGCAAACTGTCAAAACACACTGGGGAGGATCGAGGGGGGAATGAGTATTACATTTCAGGTACAAAGTCCTCCTTTTAATAAAGGATTTAGCTTCTTTTAATTCCTATTATGCTAGCTTTGTTCAAATCGTACACATCTCTGTTGCACCTCAATCCTTGTCATTCCTGAACAATTCAGGAGTGACACAACTAAAGATGCTGAGAACTAATCCTTTTCTCAGTTAATTCATTGCATGTAATTCAATCATGTTTCCTGTTTTGCAGCAGCCATGCATAATCCCTCTTGGAAACAAACAATCCCCAATTTTGCTAGCTTACTAACGTTGCACAGAGCTGAAGGTGAGATACCACAGGCGAAGGAATAGCTGGTTTTGTTAGAAACTGAAGTCATGTATTCTTGTAGCTGAGCCAGATAAAGGATTATCACCCGCTACCTCCCTAGCCTAGTTCTGCAAAAGAGTAAAATGGTTTTATACCCTGGTCAAGCCTTAATGTAGGTCACTTTAACAGGAGTGATTACAGAGTGGGCTATGTGCACAGCTAAACTGACACTCTGAGGGAGGCTTATTCTAGATTAATTGCCACCAGAACAGTAGTTACCTGCTCCACTCAAGCTTGTGGGCACTTTGAGAGGCTCCCATTTTTATTCTTTAAAAGGATGTGAGGTGGCAACTGGCATACCTTTCACTCTGTATGGCTACAAGTGAGGAGAATCTATAGCTCTTCTCTTCTTCAACCCTGCAAGAGGATGTGAGAAATTCCACATGCTGCAAAATGGGGCCTGTAGAAAAGTTAGAGCAAGGGATTTTAAAAACTCTGAGGCTGTACATTCTAGCTTTATGCTGTTTTAAATGTTAACTAACTTATTTGAATCGCTTTTATCAATACCTGAGAATTACAAGAGATATTTCCGAAGAAAAGCTAACTTGGTTTTTTAGAAAGTCTACTGAAGTATTTCATATGGTATTATTGAAATAAAACCTTTCATGCTCTCGGCTAGCTACCAATTGAATTCTGATTATAAGAACAACATGTCTTGTAATTTTATTTGTAGCTATCTCCTCACCCACCAGCCCAAAAGACTGTTATGAAAAATATTTTGTTTTACAGTGTTTAACTCTACTTACAAGTTTGATTACTTTTAATAGAAATAGAAGTTCAGCAGATAACTTTTGTGTTTAAGATGTTCATCATTACTGTACTGAAGACACTGCTAGCACACTGGTTAAGTTGAAGTGAATCACTGTAGAAAATTAGTAGCTTAGTGATCAAAATGCTGAGATTAATAGTTTTGTACACAAATGAGCTCAGTCTTGCACTGTAAAATGAATCTTGGATTCTGTTAATTTTTTGAAAGAATCACTACATTTATTCATTAAAACTATTTTAAGAATTAAAGTTTGAAGTTGGGTGATTGTGTGGCTTGCTACAAAGCTAGTTCCGTGGAGGCAGCCTTCTTGTTTAGCGTGTGACAGATGTTACGCGCTGTGGTCTGTGATAACCAATGTTCTTATGCCCAGGTGAGTTTCTCATCCCTGCCATGGCCTCCCCATGTAACTACAACAGCTCTGCACACAGGCACATCTTTGAAACCATTATTTCCACTCATCTTCTTCCTGAGAAACAAACTCTTCAGATGGTGCAAGATTAAGTTCCGTAGGCATAAAGGAAACAGTTAGCACATGGTTCTATCAGTACTCTCTGTTCTAACTGGAAGCACTTAACTGAGGAGAAAAAAAATACTTCCTGGACTGAATTAATCGAAGGTGGGTTTATGTGTGCACTTCTAAGCATTTGATCATTCCACGCTTCTAATTCCCTTCTCTTTATCAGTTGGACAGCATTCTTCTCTGGCTCAAGGTCTGTAAGTTGGCAGTACAAACACAAAGCTACTGGAAAGAAAGTAAATAAGTTAAATCTTGACCACAGAAGCATTTCTTACTGCACAAAACTGAGAAATGAACCTCTTTTTTAAAGTAATTATTACCAAGATTTTTCAAACTTTATTTTGGAAATGCAGTGTGCAGAAGCATTTCCACACGGTCCTTTTGCTGAAATTTGTAAGACATTTATACAAAAAATAACTGTGAAACACCAACAGTGAAGTTCATTCATTTAATTAAAATGAAAAACAGTCCATAGATTTAAAGGAGAACTTGGTCCACATAAACGATTTATGTAAATTTTGGACTAGTCTATTCTATGGTGGAACTGATATTTAAACTAGGTTATGTTTCTGGAATAATCTAATTAAAGGAAGTGCTGTTGTATCTCTAGAAAATAGTATGTAAATATACAAAACTAATTCATGTTCTAAACTAATCTGAGAATCAAATCCTCCTTTAAACAGAAATAATCTATAGTCTACAATCGAACATTTAAATACAATGCAGAAACCCAGTGCTTCAGTGATAATTTTCCCTAAAAAATCCCTACAATTCGTCCCTCAGTATTTTAAGTTTGAAAACCAGTATAGTTTAAAATTAGCAAATATATAAATTTGGTCCGCAAAAATCTTGTAGCAGGTAGAAAAGAGAAATACATGTATTGCAAATTGATCTTCATAGCATAAATCTATAAAAACTATGTATTATTTAGGAAAAATAGGTTAAAAAAGATCTTATTTATAGGTTTAAACCTTGGCCCAACACCATATGGGTAGTGTACAGAAAACTTAATATTACGCTTAGTATATGTAGTTTGTGAAAACTACTTAATATTTGTTATTTGTCTCAGTAAACTGCAACACGTAGAATTCAAAACCAATGTGCTACGACAGTGAACTTTGAACGAAAATCCCAGAAATACAAGAATTTAAACAAAATAATCCATAAATTTGAAATACATGCTTTCTTTTTAAATTAATTTGACATTACCGTTTTCTTAATTTTTACTATACATCTTTAGTGGCAACAGATAAACAGACTGTCACAGACTGAATTTGTTGGCAGGATTTTTCTATTGTCCCTCTTATCAGATTCAACTCTACCAAATGCTAGTTGGCTAATATTGGAATGATTTTTAATCCAGTATTCAACTTTTCACAAACATCAATTTCAATGAAAAGGGCATATGAGGTCTAGAAGCACAAATATTAATTAAGGCAGAAAGTTAAATTATTGTCTATTAGTACAGGCAGAGTCAACTAGGAATAAAAATATTGAAAACATTTCATTTTATTGGGTTTTAATGGGGAGGGACAATAATTAAAACGTAAAAAAAACACCTACCATGTTAAACTGTTGCACTTTCCCTCCTCCCTCAATTGTACAACTATATACAGATCTGCTGAACTTCCTCAAGATGAAGCAAGTCTACACTAAAATAAAACAGGGTCACTTCAGCAGCTGGATTCAAGAGTGGCTACCACTCTGCCCGTCTTGCGAACTTCTCTCTCCTTCTTTTGAACCTTTTCTTTCTGTTTTTCCAGTTTTTCTTGTGTTTTTCTAATATCCTTAATTTTTTTCTTTATTGTTGATCGGTCATTTTGACTGGAAACTCCCAAGGCCTTTGGGGGGAAAAAAGGAGATAAATATTCCATCATTATTTTTTCCAACAGCACTGTCAAAAGTGCTTGTGCAACAACAGTTTAAGAAAGTGTTATTCACTTTGATGCAAGGTAGGGTGGTGTGTTTTTTTTTAAGAAATAAGGGCCTAAATCCTCAAAAGCATTGTAAACGATCATCTGAGTAACAAGGTCAGTAAGGAAACAAGGGCCTACACACTTGTTTTGTTGTGAAATAATTGCTTCTTATTGCCTTTTACAAAGACAGACACCCGAGAATTTCCAGCAAACAGCATATGAAATAGTAGTCTCAAAATATTTTTCTTTTTACACAGAAGGAATTTAT